GCGGCGCTTGAATCATTCTGTTCCAAGCGATTCGAAGATTAATAAACACAGTGCCTGACCAGGGTCGGAAAGCCTCTTTAAAGCAATGATGGATTGCATCTAATGGAAGCCGTGCATCGAAGCTGTGCACAATGCACACCTTTTAAACGTGGCATCGTCGACGAACAGCAACCAGCTCTCATGTCGACCCCCATTCGCCAGCTGCTAGAGCTCATTACCCAATCGGTGGAAACCCTCGAGGCTACCTGTCAGTCGTCGGGGATGACCATCCCAGATCTCCACGAGCCTTTTACTCCTCCCTCGGAGGCGTTCCGCACCATTCCCGCTGCTGCGGAGGCGGCTAGCATTATAAGTGCTGCTGCCTTGCAGCTTGAAGCCATCCTTACTCCTCCGCAAGTCGCATTGTACAAGATCGTGGGCGGCGTTTGTTCATCCATGTACTGGTGATGGCTGTTCGCTAATCAATTCCCATTCTTTAGCATTTCAAGTCAGCTGCACTGCGAATCTGTCTCGAATCAAATGTCACCGAAATCCTTCGGGAGGCAGGCCCACAGGTAGGTTGGAATCAAGATCTGGGCTCTGCCACCGCTCATATGTTCCTGGTAAGGGAATCCATGCGAACGACATCGCTGCCAGGAATGGCCAGGACCCGGAGAAACTAGGTATCGGTCGTCCCAAAGAAGCCTTTAATATTCTTTTTGACAACCGTTGTACAGCCCGATTCATACGCTATCTCGCAACCCACCATGTCTATCGCGAGGTTAAGCCGAATGTCTTTACCAACACCCGCATTTCTAGCATGCTGGATACGCTGAAGCCGAGCCAGGAAGTCCTCGCTGAGTAATTTTGTTTGTGGCAGATCAACGAGGTTTTCCCTGATTTACATGTATTAAAGCCCAGAGCACAAACACGACAACACCATGGGTCTGGCGGCTTTGGCGTCTCACCAGTGAGTTTGGCATTTGAAACTCTTTATCGAATTGAACGCCCTTCAGTTTGGACGAGGCTTTCAAAGCCTCCGCGTATTCGTGGGAGACGCTCGCCGATCCCGCCACCGTTCGTTCCGGGGATCCCACCGCTTCTCCATTTGCGCGGGCAATGGGGCGTGCGGAGACACTGTGGAAATACTACGAACGCCCAGAGGAACATTTTAGGCACCACCGCTTTGGCATTGGTATGCAGGGTATTGAGTCCTTGCAGCCTCCGGATGCCATCTTGCAAGGCCAGTGGGAGTATGGTTACGATTATTTCATGCATGCTGATTCCCCCGAGCAGCTTACCAGTGGTCATCGCTGTCCAAAAATGCCGTTGTTGTGGATGTCGGTGGTGGAGTTGGGACGTCCTGTCTCACTCTGGCTGCCAAGGTCCCGTCCCTCAAATTGGTTGTTCAGGACCTGAAGGGCGTCATCGAACAAGGAAAACAGGTGATTTTCCCCCGCACAAAACTCCTCTATCCTGGATTAACCTATGTCTAGCTTTGGAACTCCAAAATGCCAAGCGCGATTACTTCGGGACAGGTCACACTCGAAGGTGCGAATGAGAAAGAGACGGAGAGCAGTGCGGAGGACTGATTAATTGCCAGTGCACGACTTCTTCACTCCCCAACCCCAAAAGAATCCTGCCGTGTTTCTCCTGAAGCAAATTATGCACGATTGGTCAGATGAGTACTGTCTCAAGATTCTCAACCATCTTTGGGAGGCCGCTGCACCTACCACGACACTTTTGTTGTTGGATAGCATCATGCCCCTTGCGTGTCACGACCTCAGTGGGGAAGGTCCCAACGCTATTCCAGGCGCAGTCCCGAAGGAGGCACCTGCTCCACTGTTGGCAAACTATGGTGGAGCGAACGACATGGGCTACAATGCAGACTTCGACGTATGCACAGATTCATTCAAACCAATCAGCCCATTTCATGTCTTCTGCAGATGTTTCTCCTGTTCAACTCCCAGGAGCGCACTGTCATTCATTTCGTTAATCTTTTGGCTAAGACCGGGTGGAAGGTAACCGCCATACACCGACAGCCCGGAGATAGCACTTTCCTCCAATGCGTCGAGGCCAGTAGGGCCGCCAAAACCGGAATCATAAAGGTTATGTGAAGTGTATCGAAATGGGTCGCCATCCTGGATTTTCCCAACCATCTGTCGCACTGTTCTTCTGTACCGCTTGCTCACTAATTTGTAAAATATCCTGTTTGTCGGAATTGCTTGCCTTCAACGTCATTTGCGACATCTTCTCGATCTTCTTTCGCTGACAGTTTTTCTTTTCTCAATTCCAACCAATCTCTTCCTGTACTCCCATCTGCCGAATCTCCGCCGGATGATCGGGCCGTCGTCCGGAACCTTCGTGTGCATCCACTCCGCGACGCTCCCCACTCCATCGGCTGGGCCTGTGAATATTATGTACGAGAAAAGGAAAAGCTGGAACTGCGGTCTGCGATCATTTATGAGACTGTCCTTCTCTCGTGTCTCTCCTCACGCAAGTCTTTGCGGGCACTCTCCTCAGGTAAATCATTAACCTGGGTAGTTCTTTATGTTTTAGTTATGTAAGAATTGTTATGCATTAAAACGTTCCATCGACAAAAGTGCGTAGCTGCAGTCGTTGAACCGTTGAAGGTGAAAGACAAAAAGAGGATTCGAACAACGGACCGAACTCCACGCGATCTTGGGCAAAAGGAAATCACCACTTCAACTCTCCAAGCAGATCCTTGAGTCTTTCTGTTATCTGTTCGGCTGCAAGGACATCTACTTACATTCGGAAGGTTGAACCTGGTTGAACCCGTCCAGGTCCGTGCACCCGTGCCGACCTGATCCGCGCCGCTTGCTCACCGCCACCGCCACTCATAGTCACAGTCACATCCTTTCCTTTTTTCACCTCACCCTCCACGATGCAGTCCTTCACATCCACCCTCCGCCGTGCCTCCGCATCCGTCCTGCGCTCAAATGCGCTTTTCACCTCCACTACTGCGCGCTCGACGCTGCGCCTCACCGCAACCCGCGCGATGGCCACCGAGGCTGCTGCCAAGGGCACCAATAGAGGGCCACGGTACCGGATTTGGTGCGTCTTTTTGAGTCGGCTGGAGGAAAGGGGATGAAGGCAAATGAGGAGGAAATGCTGACGAGTTTTTGTTGGGGTTTTCAGCATGAACTGTGCGTTTTTTTTTCCTTTTTCTTTTCTTCTCCCCGTTCTTCCAAGCCGTTTGGTTTGGTCTCTGTTTTTTCGCGCCGTTCTTGGAAGTCTCCGAGTCGTTTCCGAATCCCTTAGAGCCTTCCGAGCGGTTTCATAGATTCCGAAACTCCTTCGAGCATTCCGAGCACTCCCATTCGATGAATGCCGGAAGACGAGGGCTGGAAGTATGGAATGAAGGTCTATCCAACTGACTGTCGTATACAGGCCGCCGGGAAGGCCACACGAGGGAGCAGTGCACGGAGCCGACCGTCTGTGTCGCGTGCGGCGTTGAGGGACATGAGGTGCGTTTCGGGCTCCTCGCTTGGTTTTACTCGATCTCTGACGGGTTTCGTTCTTTTCTTTCCCTTCCTCGTGTATCCATCCATACTTCCAACTCGACTCGGACGTTGTGCTTCGTCTATCCGCATCCCCAACGAATGCGGACGGACGAATGATACGCGTCACTTGACGACAACAGCGCAAAAACTGCCCGAGTCCCGATCCCGCCCGCCTGGAGGCGCTCAACAGTGCGCCGCTCAAGTGGTGCGTGCTTCTCTTCTTGCCTCTGTGCATTATCATCGAGTGGGGAGTCATTTCTATGGAGGGGAAGGCCAGCGAGTGGGTTGTATGGATCTCCATACAACCCCGTCGTTTGCGGCCTGCGATGCGGGGCGCGTTGCGCTGTGTTGCATTGTGTTTCCTATGTATTCGCTGGTGTTCATCGTGGAAGTGGGATCTTGGCGGCCCCACCCCACTCCCTCTCTCTTCGCCCTATGTTCCCGGCGTCCAGTTTCTCTTTTCTTAGAATTATAACTACACCTCGCTCTCACTCTGCATGTTAATCGCCATCGCTAACCTTTCAACAACAGCTTCCGCTGCGGCGTAGAGGGCCACACCCTCAAGGAGTGCAAGGAGCCGGCCAAGTGCTTCAACTGTGGCGCACCGGTGCGTTTGCGTTCTTTTTTTGTTCAGTTTCATTGTTTGCGCCTCTGCAATTGGTTTCGGCTTTACATTTGGTTTCGTTTTTGGGTTCCTATTTATATTTCTCTGTTCGTTGCGCAGACCTTTTCGCAGTTCACCTCGGGCGAGACATCGCATTTGCGGTCGCTTATCTTCATATCCTTTTCTCGCTACAGTTATTTTATACTTATTTATACTTCTTTCCACGAAACGATGTCATTCTTCCATCCCACCGCGTTCCTTTATCTCGTATTCTCCTTCGCCTCCCTGATATCTATCGCCGCTGACCTCCCGTCTTCTTTACAGGGCCACATCGTCAAGGACTGCCCCACACGGCCGCCAAAGGTGGTCAAAGCCACTGCGACTGCGTAATGTGTCGTGTCGCGCGCCCAAGCACGTCGTGTCGCGTTCGAGGCGGTGCTGCTCCGGTAGCTTAAAATGCTGGGCACTTGGTACTGAAGATTCAAAACGCTGCGCACTTGGTAGTGGTGGAGATTTAAAAGTGGTAGTGGAGATTTAAAAAGCGGAATCACTGCCGGCGGAGGAATATACATACCGTTAATGTTGAAATGCTAATTTTGCAAAGCCCCACCTCGTTCTCTTGGCCGTTCTTGTTCTTGAGTTGTGGTAGCGGAGTGCGTCGTTCATGTAAAAGGAAGGAAGCATGGTCGGAGTCAGAAGGCGCACGAGATGGTGAAAGCGCACAGATGATAGAAGAATTGATCTAGCTGCGGACGTTTTGTTTTTTTCTACAACAAAAGTGAAAGGGTGCTTGAAACATATGCGATGACCCGAGCCGGCATCTCCGCCATTGTAATTGGCTGGATCTGTTTGGGCTTCCCAGACTTACTGTTATGTCAGGTAGACAACTGAACGACCCGATGGCGGATGGTCCGCGCCTGCTCCAGCTGTTGTCCAAAGCCAAAATAATTGAAGCAGGAGAAGTCGGTTCAATTCCGGCTCGGGTCATGCTATGTTTGCCAGTTGAACGTTTTGTCCCCACACGTATTCTCGCAGGCTACCCCTTCACATATCAACTCGCCTCGAAATATTTACACGTGCGGTTGCGTTAATTCATCTGCCACGGATCCTTGAGGCTGTATGTTCGACGGAAGTTGCAAAGCTGTCAGAAGTGGCCGGTGAAGTGCATGGAATATTTGACAGTAACGCTGTGAGGTCAATGACCCAATGGTGGCCCCGGAGGGCAGGGCAACAGCGGTTCAACTCCGGCTCGGGTTGCATAGTGATAGTGGAACGAAGTTTTTTTTCGTCCCTCGTCATCATAAGTTGAGCACATTGGCATTGCCGTGAACAATTTTTTTGGGCTGATATAGCCCTCTGAAAGAAGGCTCGTAAATTAAACACACTCTCTATACATGCCTGATATTTTTCGGTTGAACCTCTTCGGCGTTCGGGACTATGATTCGCTTCATACCCTGACATCTCATGGTTCTGTGCTGAACGACGCATCGACACCATGCACAGTTTTCTCACTGCCGCCTTCAATATCGCTCGTTGTTCCTGCCCTTGTGGACTACAACATCCACATCAGCAGGCATATGGAGGATCCGAAGAAATACGCGCACCATTGTGGTTCCAAAGGCAATTTCTGCCTGCGACAATTCAGATAGTACCGCCGGCTCTGCCAGCATGGCGCGGAGGTTGCGCCGTGAATTGAGCCTGCCATGGATATGAGACTTATTCTTTTCCAGATCACGAAGAGGGAACAACACACGTTGCGAGGAGGGAGTTGGTGTACAGACGGCCAAGCGAGAGATGCACTGCCTGTGTATCGTCGTGTAAGTACAAGGAGGCAGACCGTGGGATGTAGCAGGGACGCACTAAGGGAATGAAGCTATTGGGCTTTATTATGTTCTGCAGGGGAAAGGGATTATTAGATTTATGACTCGGTCGTAACAGACCTACGGCAATGACTGAGGCTAGTGCGACGAGGCTGAAATTCGTTAGGTTGCAGTCAAAACCTGAAGAACTAACAGACATACCTGGTGGAAACGCTCGTAACAACGGTATACTGGATGACCCGTGCAGCGACAAAAGTCGTCCTACAGGACATGAATTGAATACTGTGTTTCGAACGTGCCGCATTTACTCACCTTCTCATAGGTACAGATGCTTGTTGCAGGTACCAAACAAGGAGCAGTGCGATCGTGACGTCGGCTTGACAAAGTTGCTGGTCAGAAATTGAACCCAAATCGGGAGTGTATAGCGATTACCTCCAGCGCCTAGTGCGAGCATTGCGACGACTTCCCCCTTCACATTATCGAAGGCGCCAATGCTACGGTCGCCGGCAACGAACCAGATGAACAAAAAAAGGTGCAACCCGAACGTCACTAGGCACGGAAGGGAGAGAAAGGCAGTGAGCAACAGGGAGCGACCACTGAACGTCCACACCCTGAGAAATGTCAGGATCAGTGCAAAAGGAATATCCTGTGGACGCACCGATAGAGAAAGAAGCACTGACAGATTATTGCTGTGGAACCGACGAATACAATATGCAGCATCAATGGGAGTGAGGTATATCCGAGTGAGGCGTAATCCCCCCAGTTGTCAACGAGAAAGTGGTACACAGTTTGGCATATCAACAAGACATGCCCCAGGTCGAGACCACTGGGCGTGTGCGGGTTAGTGATTTATTCCACGGGAGGTGGTGCGGCTTCATACCAGACGAGAGCGACCTAAATGTGTTGAGAAAGATGAGATAAACACGGGATTCATTCTTCATGTCCACTCACAAGAGTCTTCAGCTTCCAGGAGTCCTGTGGAAAGCTTTCATAGTATATATAGGCTTGCACGGTGAGAATCCCTCGAAAGCTTATCGTCGGGGTAAGACCGAGTAGTATCTTCTGGAGCGAAGACACTCACAATACTGTGACGAGTACTGGAATTGGGTGTCAGGAGGCGACGAAACCGAATGTAGAGGAGTCGTACCTCCGATCAGCAATGCTCCGTAAGTGGGTCCGAGGTCGATATCGGACATTGCAACCGGTTTTCAATGCACTACGCAGCGGACGAGCGCAGGGTGCACGGAGTAGCAGAGTGGTAAAGGGTGGCAGTTGGTGGGAGAGGAAGGGCGGGGTGTTTCAGTTTTGCGGCTGAATCAGGTCTGTCTCAAGTTGAAGTCATAGCCTATCTCAGACATCACGATGAATTTTTTCTGCGCATCACTTCTCTTTCATTTCGCGTTCGTTTGTAACAATGCCAGAATTATCAGTGACAGCAACTGAGTTCCAAAAAGAAAATGGGTTGAAACACGCACATGTGACCTGCATCGACGCGATCGAGAGTCAATTCTCAGGGGGCTACGCCATTAAAGTGGACTGATTCTCAAGTTCCAATAGTCTCACGAACCTTATATGTATATCCCAAGCTAAACTTCTGGCTCGGATTAAAAGTCAGGCCACACCTTGGGCCACGGTTTACGCTCATATATGAGTAACGGGTCGATCTTTTATATATCAGCTTTATTTTCCCCACCTGGGTCAAACCTGAATCTGACTGTCATAATGTCCACCGACATCCGACCAATAATCTTCTATGACATTCCCTCCACGGAGCCTGGCTGCGCGTGGACCCCCAGCAGTTGGCGGATACGGTCCGTCGGCCCTGTACCAATATCTATCACCGTTAATCCGCTCCTCGTACAGATACACCCTCAACTTCAAAGGCCTGCCCTACAAGACCGAATGGGTTCAATTTCACGCCATCGCCGCACTTTACAGCGCCATTGGTGCTACACCGTCCCAGACAGAAAGCCCCGCAGACAGCACACCGAGTTATGCCCTCCCTGTCATCCGCGACCCCAACACGGGCGTCATCAGCGCGAATTCGGCACTCATTGCCGGGTACCTCGACTCAGCCTACCCCGACACACCGTGTGTGCTCCCTGAAGGCGTGCGCGACGTGCAGCACGGCTTCAGGGTGTGGTTTGAAGATGCTGTAGCCGCGCTGTCGCCGCACATCTTCCCCATGGCGGCCCTGATTCTGACACCACGGAGCGCGGAGTATTACATGCGCACGAAGGAAGCGGAAGCCAGCAAGAAACTTACGGACCTGCCGCCTCAGGGGGTTGAGGCATGGAAGGCGCTAGAGGCGGGATTTGGGACAATTTGCGAATGGATGAAGGAGAGCGGGCCGTTTGTACTGGGCGAAGAGGTGTCGTTCGCAGATTTTATCATCGGCGCGGAGTTGCAATGGTTCAGGATGATGTTGGGGGAGGAGAGCGAGAAGTGGAGGGATATGATGGGATGGCATGGAGGGCGGTGGGAAAGGCTGCTTCAAAAGCTTCAGCCGTACGAAGGAGCGGAGCAGGAGGCACCCCCTGTTAACGCTGACGAGGAAGATTTTGACGTGGGTGTACAGGGTACGCCAGTCACCGAAATCCTCCAGTCGCTACCCGTCGCGCCCGAGCTTCTACCGCTACTGGGCAATATGTTCACTTCACGGACACCCGAGAATGCAAGCATCGACCCTCTAGCCGATCGACCAGAGTCGTTCCAGAGCTCCACCGATCTGGAGTATCAGACTCAAGAATCAGAATCGGAGGATGGAGAGGATTTCCAAGGCGAAGATGAGTAAGGTGGCAGTACTTTCTATGGGACTCGTTTGTTTTGTAGTGTTGAGCAGATTGTGCACCATTCCAGCATACAATCTGCTTACACAGACCTACAACTTTTGTTTTAGCGGCCTATGAGTTGTAGACGGGAGTTTGGGGGACCCATTCTTTAGTCTTCACCCATAAGGTTGAACCTGAAAGTGTGGAGTAACAGACGGCGCGGAGCGTTCTTTCCTGTCTGCGAGTACATGCTTCCACACGCTAACACATAGCCTTCCTCAGAGTACTCAGACCTCCGAGTCGCGAATGTTGTCTAAAAAGTCAATCCAATCTTACATAACACCCACCTCGCGTCCGAATCGCACCGAGGAGGGTAATACTTACCCCAGCGATACCGATGGCCATGTGGTTGAGTTGAAAACCTTCTATGGAATGTGAACACTTGCAGGCGGATGTGCACGCGACTTGCATATTTGAGCGGCTTGTCAGCCCAGCGTATATCCAACCGTGGGAAGCGGGAGACGGGCCGGTGGCCGGCGGTGTTCCGTAACAAGGATAGGGGCTATCCTCCAAGATTTCGAGGCCAAACGTGTGCCTGAAAAGTATATCAACTGCATTAGGTTGAGATTTATGTGGCAGTATGTCGGCTCCGAAAGATAGCTTACTCTCTGTGCACATATACTACGGCCGGGCTCTCGTTGGTAGTGTGTAGGCTCGTTAAGAGCCTGCCACAGCGGCAGGCTGGTTACGAGACTAGGTTTGTGTTTACATTATTGCCCACAGGAGTTGTGATCTGAATGTTTACTCACCTATTATACGCCGGCTGAGAGTCAGTACAGTATAGTGCAGTCTATGTAAGTAACGTCTCGAAGTTTGTACTCGAAAGTTAAGCCCATTCCTTTGCAACATATTTATACTGGACAAGGCAATTCTGAAACATTCACAAACAGGCACTGTTTGTGTTAGTGCCTGTTTGTTAACAAACAGAAACAGAGTTTCTGTTTTGTTCCTATGGGGGTTGCGAATGTCCGCAAATCGGCTTATGTAAATCGGACGGCCCCGGGACGCCGCGGCCCGTCCGGTCTCCGCTCATGTTCAATATCGAATGTTCACATAACTTGCACATCACGTTAAATTTTGGACCTAAGCCACTCGGAGAAAGAAGGCCAAACCACAGCATTTTCATGGTAATCCGGCTAAGGATATTAGTACCACTGGACTCTAGTCTCTGCCTCAGTAATGATGCAGTAAAATCATTTCTTCCTTGGTGCCTGCCACAGTCAACCTGTAACCTTACTCCACTTCAACTTGACAACTTGAGCATATAACGATGGTACCGAGAACAATTATTTGATTAGAGCGTCAGGGAAGGCATGTGAGTATCTCTCTGAGGTTC